GCAGCAGGATGAAAAAAATTCATATGCATTCTTGTTCAGTCTCTGCCTGGAAACATGTACTGGAAGCATGTTTGAAGAAAAATTGCAGCTAAAGACGTAAGGGATCTGTAATAACAAAGGAACTACTATCACCCTGCTACAGTATTGTATATTTACTCACACACATATTTTAAAAGGAATTTTAACCAGGGATTTTTATTGCATTGGCTTTAAAATTATACACATACTGTAAATTTTCAGAGAAATGGCAGTGGAGTGATTAGCTTGGCTTCTCTCTCTGGCAAGTCATTCTTCCCCTTGCATGTCTCCATGACCTTGTGGTAATTAAGAGGAAAGGGGAGCACGCTAAGTGGCAAGCAAAAATGGTATTAATTTCCAGCTCTTTCTCTGTTTTGTTAGGAATCTCCACTCATATGGCAAACACTACCTATATTTAAAGGCTTCACACACATGGCTGATGCCTTCCTAATGGAGAAAGGAACGTAGGTGTTAAGTAACAGACCTTTGCTACACTGCTGTTTGTCATGACTCCTGTTCAGCAAGGTGCTACTCAACACATGAATAGCTTCTCAGATATTAGTAGGTTCTTCATGGAACAAAATTGTGGCTTCAGTTGCAAGTAATTATCTCATTTAATTGGTGTGGTTTGCAATACCAATCTGCTAAAGACACTAGCTGAGTAATTCTAATTTGGGAATAATCAAGCACTTCCCCCTTATTATTTTCCTGGAACATTATCCACCACAGACTCACAGGTCTATTTCCCATTTTTATCTGACGCAAACGGGTGCACGTAAAGTTACAACACCAATGGGCCACAACCTTCTGCAATAGAAAATATAGCAAATATCAGATCACCATTTATGCAATACAAGACTGGGAGTCAGAAGTCTATTCCTGAATCACTAATTGTGCTGGGAATATAGTTAAACCAGTTTTCTAAGGACAAAGGTTTCTTTTCACTAAAATGGGTGGCACACTGCATATCATATTTCATAGGGTTTCTGAGGCATGGCTAGGCTTCATAAAATGCCTGAAATCTATCAAATGAAAGGACATAACTAGTTAAAAATACAAAACAAACAACATAATTCACTAATATTCCATGTGACCCACCTTTTCCTTCAGCTCTCTGATTCAGTTTCCTCGTGGATCATTGCTCAGGAAGCTGAAGCCACAGACTGAAAACAGCCTGAAGCCATGGGATGCTTACCTAATGCTGGCAAACAGAATCCAGCCTAGTGTGCTGGCACCAAGATGACACCAGAGAGTCAATTCCTGTAGCTGACTCACTACTGGCATTAGGCGTAGCACAAAATGTATTGTTTGGAAGAAGGCTGGATCAGAGTTGTCTGCTCCACGACACACACGCTTGTTAACCTCTCCAGGGAGGGCAGAGACAGAGCTGATCTTCACAGCGCTTCACACTATGAACCATGTGATATGGGCTTTTAACTGCATCAGCGATTATGCCCCTATGAAAATAGCAGGAGAACTTGACACTTTTTGATGTTCCCTGCAAATCGAGATAATAAACAGGAGTACAAGTTGATATACAACAGACCAGAGAGGGGCTTGCATTGGCACAGAACATGGAGAACATTCAAGGCTGCAGCCATAAGACCTGAAACTCCAACTGAGGCTGCCCCATGAACAACAGAGGCATGGAGGCTCTGTGGAGACTGCCAGGAATGTGTGCTAGGAATCACTGCTAGCCAAAGCTTTAAATGGCAATGTCTACCTCATTCTAATGAAATCACCACTGCAAGAGGCCCTTCATCTGTTCACCAAACAGAAGTACTGCTGCAGAGCAAATTTCTGCTTCCCTGAGAAGCAGCCCAAAGGCTGCATACCTGCTCTGCACAGATCAGCCTCTCCAGGTAATAAAATTCTACTTCTGCATCTGTTCAACAGCTGTTCCAACCAAGCAGTCAGAAACCAAATGAATTAAGAGAGTGAAAGTAAGTGACCTCCTCCAAATGGATCATGTAACAAGTCTCAATTTACATTAGGTATTCAACAGCCTCCAAGTAGCAAGAACTTCTGGTCATGAGCAGCTGACAGAAGTTAAGCCTGTGACGAGAGCCTAAGGTACCTCCACAGCCTCTAATGGAGATGAATCTTCTCTCAGGGGCAGGTAGGCAGGCTACACCAAACCATGCACTGATTTCATCATCCACCAGGGTTAAATCCAGGATGGTGATTATACTCTTTCATTTCCTTCTCTTCAGGGTAAGGCATTTTCCTCTCACTACAAAGATTGGTTTCCTACCATATTTTTGTCTCCTGAAGTAATCTCCACTTAATTTTCTCTGTGTTTCACATAAAGTCCCAAGAGTTTGTTCAGATATATCCTTTGTCAGCCCATGCTGCAGGATTTCATGCCCAATAACAATGTGTTTTTTTCACACAGCACATATGTCCTCTGACAACTTATACCCTTTATTTAGTTCATTCCTTCTCCCTATGCACCCTGTGGGATCATTGTGCAGTTATTTATTGTTTTTGCCAAGCACTTAACTAGTCCAAGAAAGAGATACAGAAAGACTGTACCAAAAACAAACAAAAAAGCACCTCCCAAAATAGCCTTAATCCTTATGTTTGCTCTCCCTTTCACCAAACTGCCTGCTGGCATGAATTCACATCCCTATTCACTGGTATGCTTTTTTTGGCTGCCAGTATCTTGGGAACATCTCAACAGCTGGATTTTGTGCAAACCTACATTCATATGATCTCATTGTGTTCTCATATATGGCCATTTCCAAGATGAACGTGCTAAAGAATGCTTTCTCTGATGACAATCAGTTACTGACTAAATTCTCAGAGCACAAGTGTGTTTGCAACATTTTCTTTCTTCTGCTCTCACATCTTCTGTCTTCTGAAAAAACTGCTTTACAATTTAATGGGTGTGACAACACCCATATTTTTTGTACTTTAGTTGCCATTTGTCTTACCCTGCAGCTTCCTTCTGAGTATTTATAAATTACAAAAACAATCTGAGGTAATTAACCAAGATGACCAAAAATCTCAGGACAGGTAGTCCTACTGAAAAGCAGAATCCCACTTGGCAGAAATATTCCTTCTGGCTGTATTTCCCTGCAGTGGAAAAAACGACTCTCTGATTACAGAAACAACCCCTGGAGGATAATACTAGAGAAAACCCACACTATTTTGTTTAGTTCTCCATGGCTATCAGACCAGCACCTCAGTATACTCAAACATAACACAGTATGCAAAAATATGCAGCAAGTGCCTTAGAGGGCCTGAACTGTTCCAGGAGCTTGAGAGCAATTCAGGAGGAACCTCATGGAAATGGGTAATGTAAAGGAGGTGAGTGGCCTCAGCAAAGGTGGTGTGGAATGGAAATTGCCATATTTTTTACACTGTTTCGAAGGGAAAACTGTTTCAATGAATGTTCATTGCTTTTTAGTGTGTGGCATAGAGGATGGCAGAGAGAGCTTGCAGAAATCCTCCATGAACAGTCTCCCTTTGCAATACAGAGAATGCACTGGGTGATTCTGCTTAAAGAAGGACAGAGGCAAAGGACAAACACATTCAGAAAACAGCAGCCAACTATTCATAAATATTCTTCCTCTGCTCCCCAGTCCCCTCCCTTCAAAGACAGACACCACACAAATAATGTATCACTTCAAAAATCACAGCCTCCCACATCAGCATCTCATACTGAAACACAGGGTAAAACTGAGGGTAGACTCACTGTTACCTTTTGCAGTTCCCCTCTCGGGACCTGTTAATAAGAAAATTAAGATTTATGTAAGTTTTTAGCATGCATAATCATAGCGGTTCAAGCCAAAACACCCAGAAAATCACTGCCACTCCAATTTTCATAACTAATTTAATTTTTTGTTTCATAAAAGTGTTAACTTATTCAAACCAACCCCAAGGGCTTAATAAACACTGAGGTTGTTCTATGTCTCATCAAAATTATCAGCTAAATTCCAGTCACAGAATCTCTGTTACTAAGGCTATTTTGCCTTGCAACTGAGGTTACAATCTAACTTTTTACAGGAATCACTGAGGATGATTATACTTTGAACTGTAAGGTAGCATCTCTACAGGATCATTTTCAGATATTCAAATAACTTGATTTTTTGACTGGTAGGGAGGTGGTAAAGACCAAGGAAATCTGTTCTAGTTTGCAGGGGTTTGTTTTCAATGGTTAAAACACCATCTGTCCTGAACAACGGCCTTAGGATTAAGTAGAATGCCTTACTGGCCTCTCATTTTTTCTTACAATAGTTTGGAAAAAGATAACTCAAATGAATATGAGGAACAATACCAGGAAGGAGATACCTTAAATATTTTAACACCAGCCTAGAGGGGACAAAGATTGATGCTTATCCAGTCAACACCCAGGAACCTGCAGGACAAACAATGTTCTTCCAAGATCCTGCTAAAAGTCACACACGTTGCCAGGCTACCATGAGTAGCGCTATTTTTGCATGTGATGTTACCAAGCCCAACCAATTTTAAAACCCTGCCAAACCAAGAAGATCTCAGATGGCTCCTCAGGAGATCCTATGATACTGTCCAAACATAAAGCACCACAGACACTTGCCACCTCCCACAAGACTGCCACATATTGTACTGCCTGAGGAAGATGCTTCTGCGCTCTTCAAAAAGATCATAAAATGGAAAAAACCCTGTAAGCTCACAAGATCTAAAGATACGGTGTTTTCCAATGTTCCTGCTTTGCCTGCTCCAGATGAAGTTCTACAGGGAAAGAAACATCCCTTCCTCCTCCTTTTCCCCTTCCTTTCCTTGCCCCGCTTGCTGCATTTACAGGATCCAAAGTTTTTCATCGCATGCCATTGTAATCTGTGTAAATAAATACGAGCATAAAAAAATAACTTTGGGGAGCCTGGGCTACTTCCAGCTTGCCTGGATAGCTGGGCTGTGCATGGAGCTGGAAGGGTGTTTTTAAAAGGAGGGAAGCAGAAGAGAACAGCTTAAGAATCTTGGCTCAGGCTGGGCATATTTCCGCCTAACTCTGGCTAAACCTCAGCACGAAGGGCTGGACGAGGAGTGGATAGGAAGCCGGGGAGGGAGGGAGGCTGCAGGGCTCTCCAGCACAGCTACGGCAGAGCCCGGACAGGCTGAAGCCATGCTTTTCCTCTGGGCACTGGCATTTGTTCTAGTCCTGCAGGACCAAGATCCTTTAGGTAAGTGACTCTGAACTTGCAAAGCAGAAACAATAGCTTAATCTTAATATGGTCAAAGCCTTTGCTTGGGGTGGGAGAGGGAAGCAAATAATTGCTTAATTTCTCTATGCATTTTATGTGAAGGTGACACAGGTATGTGTCAAAATTCTGTGGGCGTATTGATTTTAAGAGGTAAAGCTCCATTTTTGTGACATTAAATTCTCTCCTGTAGGCATATTGCTTTGGTAGAGATTTTTTACTTCTTACAGGAGATAGTATCACTCTACATTCAGAAATTTAGAACCACATTGAGGTGCTGCAGACAGAGCTCTGAATTACTGTTCTGGCAGCTGTATTAATATCACACTAATCCACTTGGAAAGTTCAAGGTGATTAGAGAAAGATTCTCCTTCATTCAAAGCCTTCTTTTTAAATTTCTTGGTAACAGCATCACAATTTTATTTCTTCTGCTTTTCATTGCTTATTCCTGAGATTTTGAAGTACATAATGATTTCTCCAAAAGTCTTGTGAGAACAGAGAACATCTGATAAGTCTGCATCTGAATTCTACTTTCATTAACAAGAGATTAGTGCTGAATAACCTGTAATCACATTGTAGTGTGACTGAAAGCTATTCACTTTGGCTAGTTCAAGGGTTTACAGTCCCTATGTAACCACAAACCTGGCTGCCCAGCCTGTTTGTACTGCATCTTTTCTGCTAGCTGAGGCTCAGCTTTATTTTCCCTCTGGTCCTACTTTCTTGACAACACAGTAGTTGTATTTCATGGCAGGGTAGTAAGATCCTATTACATTCAAAACATTTCCTGAAAGACTGTTAGTCCCTTCTGCCCCCAAGTTCTAGTCACCCTTCCTTGCCCTGACTCCCTCCTGCTTAACTGGCTTTGTGAGGTTTATCTCAGTGACAAACTGAAATATCAATGCAACAGCAGGAGCACTCTAACTTGTTTTCACTCCACAAGAATACACTGTCCTCTTGTGAGTTTTGTGAGCTTCACCAAAATAAATGTGAAATTAAAGAAAAAAAATTTAAAGGCTTTGTCTATTCCCATTAAAGTACGGTTTTAACCTCAAATCATTTGCAAACTCAGATAAAATCCAGTTAATCAGAATAGCACTTCAATAATAACTGCAGCAGAGACTAGCACCCAGTATCATGCCAGGTGGCAGCTACTCAGTCAGCAAACCATGTTTATGATCTTAGTGGTGTACCTCATGCAAAATGAGAAATTTTGTGTCTGTCATGGCCAGGGGAGCACCCTGCCTGACTGAAGGCTTAAAAAAGCCATCCTCACTTTCCCTCTGCTACCCTTGAGTTGGGGAACATGACCTGATTCCCTTGCAGATCCCCCCCATCCTTACTCCCAAGGGTTCCTCTTAAAAATTATTCAGCGAAACTGGAATTTACGCTTTAATTAAATTTCAATTAATAGAAACAATCTCAAATTCAAAGAGGTCAGCCTCCAAATCATTCAGGAGAAGAGGCTGGCACGGGGGCCCTTCTGGATGCAACCATGTGCTCCTGCCGCAGTTTATAGTGCTTTGCTGCCAGCGCCAGGTTAATCTGTGGGGTGCTGCTCAAATGTAGCCTGGAGCACAATACCTGCCCCATTTAAACGTGTTTCTATTCTAACAAAAACATCCAGGCGGATGTTTCTGAGGGGCGTGGCACCCCAGCAGCAGAGATTTTGCTCCATGTTTATGCGTGGCAGAGAGGTGAGCCAGAGCTCTCAGGTCAGCACGTAGCTGGCAAGCAGGGCCATCATTAGCGGGGCGCTCCGGCCACCGAGAGAGGACAGAGAGCTCCCAGCGCAGGCACTGCTGCTCCACACCGCGGCGGGGTTCGCTCGCAAACAGCACGAGATCCACTCGGTTTTAAATACAAGCTAAAGTAAACCAAGTGTATGAATGCTTTTCTTCATTCACCTAACGTTCCTTGAATTCTCAAGATCTTTTGAATCCTCTGATGCTCACATGCAATATCAAAGCTGGGAAGATCTATAAGCTGAACCAGTGTCTAGAAACTGGGGAAAAAAATCCTTTCAGAACAGTCAGATTCTGCCCCAAATTGACCATTTGCATTATCACAGAGGAGCGTTTTTTTCTCCAGGAAATTAAACTACTGCTACTGCATTGTAGAATTAAAGCCACAGAAAAAAACTTATGATAGCTATCCTATTTTAGAGCAGACTTGGACTCATATTTATCTTACCAACAAATTAATAATGGTTTAACCTATACTCCATGTTATAGGTATTTTTTATCCTTATGGAAACCTATCAGTATTAGTGTCTCCAGCACCAGGATTGTAGGCTTTGCAGAACCCACCTCAGAGCTCCAACAAAGAAGGAGAAAAAGTTTGCAATAAAGTGTACCCTGAAATAACTGTGGTTTTTAAGACTGTGAGGTATCTGGAGATCATGGTTCAGTACAGAAGTGAGCCTTTTATAAAGAGATTTTATACATCTGTAAAGCCCTGTGTTTTCTTATGTTTATTAAAAGGAATTTAAGTTCTGTGAACTTTGTAACCCCCAAATGCAAAGTAAAAGTTAGTTTCAAATGCCCCCAAAAAATCAGGAGTTTAGAAATATAGGACTCCTATTGTCCATCTGCAGGATGTGGCTCTATTCATAAGAACAGCTGATCTGCTCTGCTTGAAGCAGATGTAAGTCCCAGGCCTGAATGTCAGGATCTACTGTGTATGTATGTATACGTGTGAATATATATATTATCTCTGAATATATATATAAATATTCTCTCCCACTATTCTACTTCCTGAGCTGCTGCACAATGCATGAACTGTCTGCCAAGAGAAAATATAACTTCAAGCAAGTTCTTAAATTTGTTTAGATATTAGAAAAAACCCTAAAATTATATTCTTTCATTGTACTTATTTATCTATTATTATTTCTATTGTTCCCATTTATTTCTTATATATTTCTACCATGACTTAGACATATGAAAACTACACAATACAGAGCTAATTAGTCACAGACTCACCTCACCCACTCCCCCTGACCAGTTTCTATTACTAAACACAGACTAAAAGCCATGTCCTCAGAGAATTGAGAAACTCTTTATCCCTGATACCAGTGGTTATCTTCAAATTGATGGTGGCATCCATTATTCATTTATCTCACATCCTCCACTCTCAAGCCAGCCTTAAGCCCACTAATTCTGCACAACTGGATTCTTTATGTATACTAAGACACAGCTCCTCTTCTTCCTAAACAGCTTCCCCTTCTCTACACACAGGTGTGTCCTGACACAGCTTCTAGCCATAATCCTCCTAACATTTAGCCTTAGTTTCCATAACAAAGATATACTCACACAGAAATAAATACATAATAAAGGCAAATTTTTCTGCAGCCCAAAGCATCATTGTAAGACACAGCCTGAATTAGAGTAACGTACCTGCTAATTACGTGGCTCGTGTCTCTTATCAGTCCAATTCCCTGTAGTCAGTTTCCATCACAGCAGCAAGTGCAGGAAGACTTGCACTGCTTGTTCAGAAGACCAGCATGCTGAAAACACGCGCCAAGCCAATAGCTCCCTCACAGGAACTTTTAATTGCTATCCTTCTTCCTTTCAATGAAAATACACAAAACTTAAGTGCTTCTTACAGTCACAGATATGGTCAAATAGCAGAAAAAGGAAAGTAGCTTTTCAAGTAGCAATTTTGCTTCTGGCACATAGCCATGGCAGGGGGCCAGATTTTTCTGTGCCTTAAAAAAAACACCAACTGGAAGTACAAACTATCCCTGGCCCTGTGCACTCCCTCAATCTCCACTGCTGGGTGAGTGAGAGATGGATCCCCTTATGAAATGAGAATTACATGGGTCACAATAGCAAAAGCTGCTGTAAATGAAGTAGTTTTACTCAGAAATACATGCTAACTAGTCAGGAACAATTGCTATGAGGTCCCATTTCTGGTTTTGCACATTTGACAAGCACAAGTGATGTACGGTTGGACCAGAACACACTGTGACACAAAGTCCCACCCACAGGTGGATGGGATAGACTAGGTAGAGATGTGAGGCCTCGTAGGCTGGTATCTGACCACCTTCATTAATATATTCCACAACCCATGAGATTCTCCCTTTGCTCCTTCTCTTTCAGGTAAAAAAGAATTAAAACAAGTACAACCTTAACTGATGTAGGATCTGAAGTAATATTCATAGTAGCATATTCTACACCTTGATAAAGAGAGTATGAACCAGGTCTGCAATTTTGGAATTTGACCTTCTGATATGGTTATTTAGCTACTAAAATTAATATTAAAAGTAATTGATTTCATGGAAGAAACTAACTTCTGGATGTTTCCCTTATTGGAGGACCATAAATCTTGGATACCAGAGAAATCCCTTGGTTTTTGTATCATGTTTGAAACCTTCCCAAGACTTGACATTCAGGCAGCAGTTGAAGTATTCAACGAATGTATAGATAACAGAGTAATCCCTAATCAGGCATTAAAAACTTTCTATGTACCTTCTTGAAATTAAAACAAAAAACAAACCAAACAAACAAAAACAACAACAAAACCTTCCCACAACTCCTAAATTTCAGATCTTCCTATACTGTCAGTTTACTGTCTAATACACAATGCCTGCTTTCCATCTCCCACTTTGGATAGACCATATTTACCCGGTATGAAATTTGCCTTGTCATTCTGCCATAAAAGCTAGAGCCTAGTAAAGGTGTGTACATTTAAATATTTATATGTATATGTATATATATTTCCATGTAAATATAAGCAAACCCATGCAGTTGCCTCCAGTGTGAAGCATATAGCAGCATGTAAGTTGCTATGGAATTTCATGTATTTATAACAATTCCTGCAGTCTTTATTGCAATCACTAAAGGTAAGAATTCCTTTATCTTTAAGAAAATAGAAACTAAACTCTAAAAAGATCAGAGGCATCTAAATCACAGCTAAGCATTAGTGTTTTATGGATTACATCCAGAAAGATGCTCAATGTCCAGTTAAAGATATGCTTCTGAATGGCTAAGAACTTGAAGGGAATCTGTGCCCTAAAAAACATTTTAAATACAACACTTGATATCCAAATCAATTATTTTTGATGTCCTAACAATATAATTTGATATGACTTGAGTTATATATCACTGCTTAAAATGAATTTGGGGATGCTGATAATGAAACTGGTAACGACACAGGAAGTTAATTCAGTACCTCTATACCCAAGGGTGCCAATGTGATTAATTAAGAGCTGACATTACTGGAAACTAACTCTGATGCCTTGAAGAACAGCCCCCAAAATGAAATATGACTAACAGTTTTAGCTTAACATAATTTATGGTCTGAAAGCACTAGTACCGATATTTATTAGTATCAATTAAGGTTCAAATCAACTAAATCTTTCCTGAATTCAGCTGCAAGTTATCTTCACCAATCACTTTTGAAAATCATATGATTTCTTGTACCATTTCAAAGTTACATGCAAATTTCCAAGTGGAATCCAAAACTTTATATTTAGAGAAAAAAAATAATTTAAGCAAGGACCAGCAAGTCCATTCAGAAGTCTGTTGCATTCCTCCCAAACTGGTTAGTGGATTCATCATTTGAATTTGATCCTCCAGCTCATGACCTTTTTCCTGTTGGAACATAAATCATTACTACCACCATTCCTTTTCTTATCAAGGGCTATCTGGCCACCTTATCCTACATGCTCCAGGAATAAAATTATACTACTAAACCTAAGTCAGTGCAAACAAAAACACACAGCACAGCACATTTTCTTGAAGAGTTAGACATGTTTTCTCCTTTATTCCCCTTGCTCTATCACATTTTCAGGCTTCTTCATTTGCCATCTGGTTCCTGTTTTAATCTCCCATGTTTTTCACTTGGCTTGTGGCCTGCTTTGTTTTACCCCTCCCACTGAGCACAAACAAGAACTTGCTGTCAACTTGCAAAACCACACTGATCATAGAATGAGGCAAAATAATTTTGCAGGTTTTAAGACCAATGGAGAACACTGTGGTCACTCACCTTGACCTTCTCTATAATGCAGACCAAAGAACCCAACCTAGCAATTTCTAGATCAAGCCTGTAACTTCATTTGGACCAGCAATGTGTCATTAGGAAGGATACTTTAAAAGACCTTCCAGATCTGCGTGGTCACGTACTTCAGTTCTGGCAGTCCCAGTAACCACAGAAAATGACAGCAGAGAAGCAGTTGCTTGGGTTTATTCTGATGCTTACCATTAGCAACTACTTGGATGATCAAAATGAACCATTTAACAGCATCTGGATAGAAAGAATCCTGACAGTCCTAGAAGGGAACTTCGTCAGGGAGCACAGAGAAGCAACATCTTGCGGGTTGGGGGAATATATCAAATGTAAAGGAGGCAGAAGAGCTTAACTGAGTGACAATCTAAGATCGCTGCTCTTAGTCTGTTTAGTAAGGCTGTTCTGATTCTTAGTTTGCTCTTTCTCTCTCTTGCTATAAGATCAAGCTTTGTACTGTCAGGCTGACCATGATACATAGATGTTACTCTTCATGGTGCTACTTCTTTCAAACTTTAAGCATGTTCTTCTATTAAACAGATCCTTATTAACAACCAGTTCAGAGATGCTCCATTTCCCTGCTGGTGTCTGACTGCATCACAGCCCAGGGTGGTTGGAACTACCCTGATTTATGAGCATCATCAATGCAGCACAGAGGACTTAATCAGAGGAAATAAGGCATGAGTAGTTTTCTTATATCAAACATGAGATTTCTGGTTCTTGATGGAAAATAACTACTCTAGGTATCAAATAGAATGGATTTCAAGAATTTAACTAAACATGTCACCTGCAAGAAATATCAGGTGGAAATCTGCAGATGGGACATTAACTGAAAGGTAATGTTCTCTCTGCTGTACTGAAATGTGAAAAGGGTCTGCGTGAAATAATCTATTAAGTTTCAAATGAGAGATTTAAGACATTGAAATATGCCTCCTATACACTTGCATAAGCTGTCAAAAGTTGCAAACACCCACACATATTAAATATGTAATTTATATGGCATACAAAGAACACTTCACTTCTAAAAGTAGTAAGCTTCAAAACTTACTACCAAAGTTGTCTGTATTTATGCACATGCTTTGAAACACAGACAAGTAAAAATTCCAATATACATTTAAAACAATGTTTCTTCAGTAACCTCAGAAAATAAGTACCTGGAAGTATCCTAAAAGGTCATTAGTCTCTTGCTTACATAGTTTGCAGCCTTCCACTCTTCACTTCCTTTACACAGTGACTGAATTTATTACATGAAGTAGAGATGCTCCTGGAGTAAGGTCAGTGACAAAGGCAGATTGTGTCCCTTTCCTTCACCAGTTGCAATAGAGAAGGGCAGTGCTCATAAGCAACATTCCATGTGCTCTCTTTGAGTACATGGAAATTACTGCTTTGGCTGAATTGCCCGACCACAGTGACCCAGATATGTGCTGTATTTACAAGGGACCGGATGTGTCCTGTGAACAGCCCATCCCAGAGATAAAGCTGTAGTTTAACAGCTAAAGCCAGACAACAAAATAACAATGAGTGTTTTGGGCAGCCACAGCCCCAAGCCAGAAAAAAGAAATCTGCACAGACAAAGCACTGGCTGGCCAGCCAGCAGCAGCTGAGTTAGCCTGTTCTGGCGTGGTGGTGAAGGGGCAATCACAAGAACCTGAGCATCTCTTTTTTGGTGTGAAAGTGACTAACAAGACATGGACACACAGGTCCTGAGAGGGTTTCTCCTTTCTCAGCCCTCTCACAGCTCACAGCTCCATACTGTGAGGTCTACAACTAGACATGCTTTTGCTTATACTAACTCTTAGCCTTGCTATCATCAGCTGTCAGGTGCTCCCCGAGACACTTAGGCTTGGCCTGTTTATCAAATTTTTTGGGCACTGCACTAATTCTGTGGTTCTGAGTGATAATCTTACAGCCCTGTCAAACTAGAACAAGATGCTTTGTCCTCCTTCAGTACGCCCATTGCTGCTGATAACGCAGCAATGCACTTTAAGTGGTGGAAAGTTGTCTCCCCTCATATCAGGAGAGGAACCCACCACCCAAGGAACCAAGACCTACTGAGTCCTGTGTCTCATAGCATAGTGTCTCCCTTTACCTTGCTCTCTAGATGCACACAAAGCCTTGCAGTGCTTTGCTAAGCTCACAATAAGACATGACAACCTTATATTGGCTATACATACCTATCATGGTATGTATACATGTGCTTTGAACTGTCATCCATCATATCTAACCTCCCCACCTACAAACACTTGTCTAGAGAATCAGCCAGCACAATTTCAGTATCTCCACACCATGATATAAAAAAAACATGCAAAGAAGCAAAAATTTTGCGAAACAGCACGTTCACCTGACCACTAAGACAGTAACAACACTCATAAACCACCACTACTAGCAGCAAAGAGAAAAAAAAGGGTAACTGGAAAGCAGCTGGTGTTGAAATACCTGCTGTATTTCAGCACTCTCCTGTAAACAGGTAGAGGAAGCCTTTGGGATTCTGTCCTAACAGCACCACCTTCTGGTGACTGCACTAAAAAAAACCCCAACCAAATCTCTGCCAAACCAGTTTCTAAATAATGCCCAGAAAGTCAGGTCACCTCGTAATCCCTCCTCCCCTCCGTCCTCCCCCTCCAATTACAAGGATGTCATTCCAACTCCGAGTACATCTCTCATCCCCCCCAAACTGCAGTGATCCTTACTGACACGTGTTTGCCATCACCTGACACCTACACTCCAGAAATCTTGGCACAGCCTTGAGATGAGAAGCACTGCAGCAGTTCCACACCTCTGTTCTGGCAGAGCAGTACTGAAGACAGAGTGTTACTGCTCTTGTGTGTCTTACTGATCATTGTAACACAAGCTCAGTTTTGTCTTTGTTACAATCAATGACAATGTTACAATCAAACAATGAGTTACTTCTGTTTCCTCATTATCATAGCTGCTTCAAGCATCAAACAAGAGCAAAACCTATCTTTACATGCAGGAAGATATGTTATCACTTTACCACAGCTTAAAATATTCCATTACAGTCCTCTGCACACATGTGAAAATGTAAATGTTACTGAATGCTACAAAGAAATTATGAAAAGGAAGCAGGCTCCACTAAAGCATGGACACCAGCAGCTACTGACTGACCTTTCATGGAGCACAGCCAGCAAAACGAAAAGTTCAAAGAGCAAGAGCTCATGAGTACTGAGAGGTAATCACAGATAACTGTCAGAGATATGTGACTTTGTATATAGCACTATATACAAGTCAGCAAATGTACACATTTTTATTGTTTCCCTTCCCATTGCAAAGTCAGACTGTTAGAGACAACTTTCTGTCATCAGACGTCATCAGCAACCATTTGGAAAGGGGACAAGCTTAGCTACTCTTCAAAGCTCTACCATACCAGCTGCTTCTGAAGAAAGTCTACAAGGAACTGTTGTGCAAGGCAGATCTTCCCAACAGTTAGGCTTCACACTTAAGAGAGACAGAGTTACAGCCTATAAACTTACCCTACACAGGTAGGAAAAAATAGATTATGTAAAACAAACACACACATAAACAAAACAAACACCTGTAGGAAGAGAAAACACCTTGTTCCAACCAACATGATGTGTGCAGGCAAGGAGACATTCACTGCACCAGGGCACAGCTGTAGTTATTGGAAAAGAAGTTCAATTTCTACATTTGGTTCATAAACAAGGCCGTGTAGCATGCAAAATACAACTTCAGAAATCAGAAAGGCAAGAACTGCTATTAGCCCTCTGCTAATTAACTGTGTCTGTACTTCCAGCTGCTGCAGATCCTGTCAGTATGGCACCTGGAAGTTTGGAAAGAGGAAGCTGGTGTAATGAACATATGCTCCATGAACGCTTAGATATTATTGAAGAGGTAAGAGGGATTGTGCTGGCTCCTGAACTTTACCAGACCTCTGCCCTATCCTTTTGACCAAAGAAAAAGGATGTTTCTAGACAGTGTCCCTTCCTGACTTAATTCTAGTCAAGGTTGGACTACTTTTTTTTTTTTTTCAGATGTCATAGTTTATAACTATCCATAAAACCATTACCACCAGAAATATATAATCTTGATGAATTCCAAAAAACTGATTAACAATTTATTATATATCAGCCTTTTCTAGAATGTTTATAACTGTGCCTTTAATCTAAAAATCTCAGAATCAATATTTGTAAAGTTTCACGTTGGCTTATTGGTAAATGTGAGTTCTGCAGGTGATGATAGAGGAGTTTCTGCTCACCCCTGCTGACACTTAAGAGCTAAATGCGCTTTATGACTGGGATTCTAGGAAAGCTGCAGAGTTTGATTTTTTTTTTCCCTGGTGTCTTAAGCACTCACAAGATATCTGCTAACTATTCTCAGCTGGGTAGTTCCCAAACTCCATGCTGAGGTTTTGAAATAGCAACATTACCTCTTTTTTGCTCTAGTCCCAGCCCTGTTCTTTCCACCTCATCAGCTCCTCTCATCATCCATGCAGTTTCTTTTATTGCATATAGTAAATTTCAATTCTCTCACAGAAAGAATTAAAAACAAACTAATGCAAAGCCCCAGTAAGTTAAATTCTTCTTTATACAGGGGTGCCTTAACCTAACTCTTGCAAAACCAAGTGCTAGTACTTGGTGCCACTAGAGGCCAGCAGAACACAAGAAATGTTTAAAGGTGCAATGCGCATTATAGACTAAATTAGCTGTTGGCACTAAAGGACATGAGGTTTGCATTTCCGCAAACACATCTGGGGCAGTTCCTTCCACTTGACCCTTTGACTACCTCCTTTCTCCATTTGTCTCACTTGTTTCCATTAGAAGGTAATAAAAACTGTGGAGCACCTAGAATCAGAAGTCAAATCACTCCTCAACATCATCAGTGAGACAACACTGAATATCCCCACCGTTCCAGGAACTCCACTGATAGACATTTTTGATGGTCAGTATCTGGTCCGGTATAATCTATGTTGAAAAAAAGGGTTACATATGTTATTATTAAATATGCCATATTTTCTCTCTCAGGATGTGAGCTAAATCCTTCATTCAGCTCAGGGTAGCTAAGGGCTCAGAACTGGGGGCCTCAGGACGCCAATTCTGGGTCCAGTTTGAAAAATCAGATTTCAACAACCACTGAAGAGAAGGCTGGGAGAAAAGAAAGCAACTCACCTTAGAATGGCAGGGCAGATGAAGTTTGCTCAAGCTTCCTTTCAGATTTAAGAGCCTGTGATTCTTTAGCTTCATGTGTAAGAAAATAAGGAAGAGCAACAAAATTTAAAAAAAAAATGGAGGTATTGCTACTATGATATCCTAAATTCAACTTTGACACATTAGCCCCTCACACAAAACATGCTCCTGGATAAATGATTTTGGAATAAATTAAACCACAACAGAAATTAGTTGGATGAGACCACCTATTCTACTCACTTTCTTATAATGCTCTATGCTCTTCATCCTCTGCCTAAATATCAATAGTGCATTTAACAAGGTGAGACACTCTTGATGGAAAACAAACCACTTGTGGACAGATGTAAGCATCCACAGACATGTTTATGAAGTCAGTTTTGTCAGTGCTGGGTTGTTTTTTCATTTAAGGTAGCTTAAAGTGGGCACACTACAGTGCACTGAGATGATGGAAGGAGACAGCAGTAGAGTTTATGCTGCTTTTTGCTTCTTGCAGTTGGCTGTATGTATCTGGTCACCATGACTGATAATGTCCTCCCCAACTTTGCTATCCATTGAAGTTTTCTGTGAGGGGCAGTTAACAGGTTAACAATTAAGTTACTCCCCTGCAATGGAAGGGGGTGTTCCAGTAAAAGTGAAAAGTATTCCAGTAAAGCACTGCAGTGAATTTAAAGTGGAAATCAGCACATTTGCCGCAAATCTATAGCAAGTACTACTCAGATGGATCTTGCAACAACTGCCAAACTGCTCAAGAATTACAGATCGGACCTTCCTTCTATGATTTTGTGACTCAAAGTGACAATTCCTCACTTTAGAGTAGCAAGATTCATGTTTTAAATTAGATTTATGCATAAAGATTGATCCTGATCTCATAACCAAAAATAATTGCATCAACTCTTCTCTATACAGATACCAGCTGAACACTGTGAAGACAGAAGACAGCTGAATGTAACTGTGGTTGTCATAAACAATTGCCCTTCTAATCATTTAATAAGCTTGTGTTTCCAGAATTTGTGCAGGGTGAACAATACTCAGCTGTAGTTTGTCTTCTGTGTTGCTGTGCTTTATAATAAAGAGGTATTTGCTTTCAGACACCGTTTCAAACTTTGCATTCCAAATCTTTCAGGAGCCCCACTTTATCAAAACTGCTTTTCAAATACAGCAGTCAGTAAGCAAACAAGATCAGGTGGTGTTCAGGACTAAAGAACAGCTAACAATTCAAAAGCTTCCTCCTACCCTTCCAAAGATGTGAACTATTAGTTTCAGCCAACAAAGAGACTTCCAGCTGCAAATTCCTCTCAAGACATGCTCAGATTTTCTGACAGAAATGAGTGTGTGATCTGCCTTTGGACACAGGACACACTGCTGCCATTGACCAAAATGGGAGTCCTGCCAACAAGTCCCAGTCAGAATCCATCATTTGGACACACAGCTACCATATTCTGTAATCTTTACATTCCCCTCCCTTGCTATGCTGACAAATCAGAATTAAATCCAGGACATTGTCTTTTTCTTTCAAGACAAACAGCAAAAGAACTTCTAGGAAAAAGGACCTACCAGACAACAGACAGAGCACACTTACATGTGTGTGAAGTAAGGGGAGTTTGCACATTCTTGATTAATAAGCAGTCTATTTTCACTGATCTAGTTATAAAACCTTTCCCCTGCTTTGTACTTTTTACCTTTACATGTTTTTATTTTGAGAACAAGCTGAAGAGATGTCATCCATGCCAGCAGCAAATAAAAACTCAGAGTTCCAAGAGTTAGAGAAATTGCAACATGCAAAATGAAAATACTGAGCAGTAACTACAGATTACATGTATCGTATACAATTGCTCATCAACAGCATACATCTCCCAAACTCTTATCAAAACAACAATTTCTGAATAATCCCGTGGAAGAGAACTTCTATGGAAAAATTAAGTTACATAAACTGAATCATCACTCACATACATCAATATGAACACCAAAAGGCACAGTCTGCAAAGACTCAGACAGCTTTAATTTCATAATCTCTTCTTACATACATATATTTAAGGCACTATCCAAAACCTTTAAACATTAATGACAGAATCTTTACTACTGTCAACATTACTACTGCCTTGGGACAGTCTGCCTTAGCAAGAATGAAATGTGGAACATATCTTCCTTGAAAATAATCAAGGTAAAAAATAGAACTTGACAAAACTTCTTTAAAACAGTCTTAACTTGACACAAAATCTCGAGGCTGCTATCTCCACATATCAGGAAGTAGGCTAACCAACTCTACATACAATAGATATAAAACTTGCATTAAAATTGCACTCAATGTTTATACAAAAAAAATCTTAAATCACACAACTGTGATTTTTCATAAAACAAACATTATTTCAGCATGATAGAAGCAAAAAAGAAATAATGACCACTCATTCAAGGATTGCCAAGGGTGCTATACAGAATCCTGAGTAGACAGCACATAAGCTGGGTATTTTGGGGGGTTTTGGCATTTATTACCTACTACTTTTGAACTGAAGATATATGCAATATTATTTAAAATGTAATTGCTTTAGAAGAAACAAGTCATTACATATTTACTTATGGAGGAAAAAAGATGCTTTGCAGCAAGTACATGAAAATTGCAGCTTTTTAAAGAAAAGCTCAATGCTCCATTTAGTCATTTCCACCACACAACTTGAGTAGGATTTTCCGGTAGTCTCCTGAAGTATCACCCTGAAAAGTAATCCAGAAAAAGAAAAGTTGAAGAATAACCAAAAGAGATGAAGCCACAGCTGAAAAACTGAGAACTTTCTTCCCAGGGATATTTTTGGCTCTACTTTTACAGAAATAAGCAGCTGAGTTTACATACACCTAACTGTGGACATGCACACCCATATTTATTGAAGCTGAGTTTTAACCAAGTTCAGTCCATTAAATAGATATGGCCTGTTCTGCTTCTATTCTGAATGGTAAATTATAATGCCAGATCAAAAGAGGAACAGGGGGGAAGAAGAAATACAGAGCTTTTCCACCAATGTCTCACTGCTTTTTACTCATACATTGGTGGTTACAGGGCATGCAACTACTGTAAAAGAAACATTTGGCACATGCTAACCTCCAGAATGTCTACAGGACTCTTTCCAAACACCAAGTTACAGCCCCTCCGTGTCCAGAGCAGAAGGAATAAACAGGGGCTTAATAGGTTTGGCACCCTCATTACAAGGTAAATAAAAGTGACACCACTCACTCTCCTCCAGCTCTTACTCCCCTACCACTGGCCAGGCATCCTCTTGGCTGTTGCTATAGCTCTTCATAGCAGTAGGAGAGCGGATCAACTGCTAAAGAATCTGAAGTTTAGCCTATTTGAAAAATCTTGTACTTTCAAGAGAAAGAGGAGGCAATCCTTAAGAAGATTTTTAGGAGCTTTATATTCTTCCAAGATACAAATGAAGTAGAGCGTCACTGTTACTCAACTGGAGGACTGAGTAGTTCCCACAAGATCATATAAGGAGATTGGGATAGAGGGGTCTCAGAAACCTCTTTTCCCTTTCCTTCCTTCCCATCTCTAGTTCATCTAGCCCCCATGCAAACCCAAGTGCTCTCAATCCTCCAGCCCTCAGCCTCCATGCTCCTAGCCAATGCAGCAATCCAACACAGCCAGCTAAGCTCAGTGCAGGTAATAGCCGTTCAAGCACAAGGAGCAGTGTTTTGCCAGCACAAGGGGTGTCACGGCAGGGAAGGTAAGGAAGGCAAGGAAGGTAAGGTGTGCAAGTCTTACAGTGATATCTGAGTAGAGAGATCTGCCATACATCCGCTTGTACTCTGCACGTATGTCCAGCAAGTCAACCTCGCTGCGCGATACCATGATCCGGATCAGCGTCCTGTCCTTTGTCCCCGCTCCCTGAAACAAACATAGCAGCAGTATAATGCATTGAAAAGTGTATGATAGAGCACTGGTAAAAAGTAAAATGCTTGTTTACTAGCATAATCCCACTGACTTAATAAGCTTGAACAGAATTTGGCCTATCATACTTTATATCTTTAATTTAGTAGTAGGACGCTAATTTCTCTGCACAAGAACAGCTCAAAAAAAAAGAGGGGGATTTATAAAGACAGGTCACAAAAATCTGTTGAGTTAAATGGCCTTTATTTCTGCTAGAATTCCCTACTTAAAAAGTACCCATTTCAATGAGTTTTAAGCATATTTTTGTTTCACCAAGTGAAGGTTTTTGTTTTATGTATGGTTGCATTCATTGCTCTGTTAAGCTGGATCAAATTAGCTAGATTTTTTCCAGCCTTTCATAATAATGACTGCATCCTGTTAGTCATCTGCCCACTGAAAAATGTAATCCCTTCAGCTGCAAGTTCCTTCCCAAGAGCTGTACAAGCATTTATAAAAACCCCACACTATAAGTTTATGTAACTTGTCACAGACACCTACCTTCATTGCTTTATATAATCTCTCTGCAAAAAAAGCTGGTGTGTTCTTGAGACACTTAACTGCAAAAAGAAACAGCATTACAGAAATCAGGCATTCCTTCTCAATCAGAACTCAGTAATTTTTTGATTTATCCAACATAGTCACATGCTTGAATTTTACATAAACATACACTTTATACAATGCAGCTTCCACTCCTTCCATTAGTCACTGAAATTATTTTTAATCCAAACAGTAGCTGCAATACAGTTGAAGAACCTACACTGCATGGCTAAAAGCAAACATTTCTGTCACTAGAAACCATCTGATGTTAGCCATAATGAACCTTTGAATTCTAATGTCCAGATTCTTGTTTATGAAGTGAAAACAGGGAATGAGGAGGGGCAGAAGACTTGAAGGAACACATAGGTAGTGGTGTTCCTGACTTCTTAATTCTAAATTTTCAGGCCATGCATCTGCAAGGTATGAAAAATTCAAGTCCTGCACTAGTACAAATTAGGAAACCACCTATGATAGCAGAGAATCTTAGGTGGTTCCTTCTCCGTAGGGGTGTGTCATCATAACCCTTATTTTAGTCTTATTTTAGCCACAAAGTTCATTAGGACTCCTGAAATTTTTTTAACGTGCTCATTTACTAATGACTGGATGTCATATTTAATTAGCACAGTTAATTAGAAATCTGAAAGAGCAAAATCTAAGTCAAATTACTGTCATGTTAATCAGGATAATTAAAGAATCCTCCATCACTGATCAGAATTAAAATCTATGTATTGATGCAATGTTGCTTACAAGTAAACAATCATGCAAACTGTGGTAAACTACAGAGGAAACAAACCACACTTGACATTTAATAGCACAGTAAGATATCAAAATCAATCACACAGAATCAACGCAGAACTAAAGGTGTAAACCCAGACATATTTTTCATAGCAACACACATTCTGTATAGGGAGAAGTACTTTTCTCAGTAGGAAAATGTTGATGAGAGATAGCAGTTCACCACACAACTGTCAATGATATGTACAATACTATTCAAAAACAAATGACAAAATGAAATGCATGTTTTTGTATCACTATATTTAGCTAACACAACACACTTGCATTCTAAGATGTTTAAAGATGTTGTTTAAGTTACCAGTTTTACAATCCAGAAAGCTTTAAAGAAAGCAAAATTAAATATTTTCAATTAGAAACCCCTTTTTTTCCTGCAAATAAGGTTCACAGAACAAATGATGTTAATATAATTTACTGATATAGAGATATGTGTATATACATAAAAAATCCCACAGAATCTATTTAATAAATGGAGCTATTCAGTGAATATTAATGACAAGCCTTGCTCAAAAAGCTATTGACTTGTTTGCCAGCTACAGTCTCAGTTTTGACTCTGGATCTACATGAAGACCTGTCAAGTCACTATGAAGCTCCATGAAGACAAATGGCTTCTAAACTCTGAGCAGTTTCTTTACTAAGGCAATCTTTTTCTACAAACAGAGAAATCTCTTTTCCCTAAGCTTGGTTTTCTGACAATAGTTTCTGAGGTGACAAAGTTTGAGTCCTGGAAAAGGTCTGCAAATCAATCAGACACAATGACCTAGATCCAGCTTGGGTCATTAAAAGATCAGTACAATGACAGTGTGGCCAAGTAGAATAAGAACATTAGTTACATAGTTCACACATGCACAAGACAGGAGTGAAAAAATAAGGCTTTTAAAATTGATTTTCATTTTGCCAAGATTTTGTTACAAACTTCAGTGGAAAAATCTGTTGCGGTTGAACCAAATATCCTCCTCTATCTCATTTCCAAGTGATGCAAAGTTCACTTTTCCTATTTTTTGGGTTAGGTGAATGTGGTTGTTTTAGGAATTTTTTTGTTATATCACTACCATATTCAGAACCAAAGAACAACACTTCTAAAGCAGGAGCTCTAGATACCACAGTATGTTTACAGAAATAAACAGAAAAAGAAATTGAGATGTAAAGACACAAGACAGCAAAGTGGTTCACAGATATATCTATAATAAAGCATTTTAAATTAAACTACTGCACAGCAACTTGAGGCCTTGTCCCAACCTCATGGAAATAAATGGCTGCTTCTGAAGAGAGAACAGTAGACCTGAGGTAAGAGTTTTCACTCCTCAGAAGTTCTGGGGCAATTAAAAACAAAGTTTTAATAAAATTGTAGCCACAGGAAAAGTGGAAAAAATAACCCTTTTGCAATTAAATTCAAGTTTTCTTTCTACTAAATAGAGGTAGAGGTAACTAATTAGAGAGTTAAAGCCTGTATCTTGCTAGATTTACAAAATTGTCCCAAATACTCCATTCTCACTGAGTCAGCAGTTGGTACAAGTTCATTTCTTAAACAGTGTCAATTATAGTTAATAATTCTCTCCCTATTTTAACATGTGAAATTCAAATTCTGCAGATGCCTGCAATAAAAAAGCTTCATCTGTCGTTTTGAGGTGAATTAAGTGTCCCACTTTACTAACCACAAATGACTTCACAGAAAGCTCAACATAAAAAGCAGAAAACTAGAAACTACTACTAATAAGAACATCCTTAGCTGGAGTCACAGGTGCCACCTGAGCCAGCTGTAGCAGAATAGCAGGAATGAACTTGCTAAGGTGGCACATACCTACTGCCAGCATGCCCCTCTCCAGGTCTCCAGACATTTCACGACATATGCTGCTTTCGATGTCCCGGTTACACATCCTCTGGTACTCGCTGAAGACTGTTAATGGAAAAGAAAGATTTCAGCTCCACCACAAGAGGTGACACTGGAATGTGCTGGATGGCTTCATTTCAATGGCGATTCTCAGCTGGAGAAGTGTACTCACACTACAGTGTACTCACACTAGTTTGAACATCTCAAGGATTAATAACTGTGTTATCAACCATTTACATGTTATCAGGCTCCTTCTAGCTTGCCTAGCTCTGTCCTCTTCACTGAAAAACTAGACTAAGAAATCACAGCAATTTTTTTAGGAAAACTTTGGGTGTCAATAAAATTAAGAAAATATTCAGGTTCTCATATATACTCCTTTCCTCCATATAAGTACCTCGCATACCAACAACACATTGTAAAAGTTCTATGTAGTTACTAAAACATTTCCACCACGACAGACTGATGTAGCACCTTACATCAGCAAGTAAAAAGGGAAGGATTGCAAGTGTCTTGCACACACAAGTATGCAAGACTGAAACAATTTTAGTTTTTCAATTCTTTATCAGAGGATCATTTAAACAAGTATGACCTCTACTTCTACTAGAAAGGTGACTCTTCCTTTTCCTCAGCAGAATTCACCCTGCTTGTCATTGATATCTTATTGGCCTCACTTTACAGATGGAGGAAATTCAGAGCACAGAGCAGTGCTGTACATTTTTATCATTATACACAACAGAATCAAGTTACTGTTTATGTAGGGCATCGTTACCTGCTCTAAGGTGGGCCCTGCTTCTTGCACACAGAATGGCATTGAATTTGGATTCGTCAGTTCCTAGACGGTTCTCTCCAGCTGCATACAACTCCTGAACACAGAAGAGAGTTCACACTTCATTACTCAGAAAAGTAGTCAGGCTGAACAGCTCATAGATTTGCCTCCTTGCAGCCTCTCCTCCTTTTATACTTATTTCATAGCCTATGTACCACTGCAAAACAGGGGCAAGCAATAAATAGCAACTAGTTCTAACCTTCCTATAATATGCTGTGCTTGCAGTCTTCCTAGCTTGCTGATGCATAAGTGCTCAAACACAAGAGCACCACATTACTAAAGGAGGGGACATTGTTCAAAAAGTACCTGAAATTTTTTCTTCCTAACAGTCCTTACACCTAGCTTTTCTTCTACAATTCTAGGTGCATTCCGGGACATTCTTGTATTTTGGCTAAGGCACACTATGTAGAAAGCTAATGGCATTACTATTTAAATGCCACTAGTATGGCTAAAACAATCCAGGGTTTTCCCTTTGCTACATAGTGAAATGGAATATACAGAAAAAGAAATGGGCAGGCATTACTAAGTCCAAGTGCCTTATTTGCTGCAAACTTAAACAACATGCAAAGGCTATTGCAGGTGTTTAATTGTTTAAAATTTAATCCACACACATATCGCCTCAAATCTCTTTGGACCATTTCCTTAGTAAGCAGCACAATCCAATACTTGGAAAAGCCAAGGACCTGACTGAATGAGAAGTAAAATATCCCACGGACTGTACTCCCAAGAGATTCATCTCTGTATTGCACCTACATGGCTCTAATGCTCTGTCACAGCTTTTTGTATCTCTACCATCCACTCAAATATAAGCACTGAATCAGAAGATGTCACAAGGTATCCAAAACTAACAGTAAGCAGAATCCACACAGTCTAATTTCAGCAAACTGAGTTGACCATAGCTAGAAATGACGAAGCATTTCTACTGACCTGTACATCTCTTTGGACAACAGACATGTCGACATTTGTACTTTCATCTCTGTTTCCCTGAAAGAATTAGAAGATCCAGCAGTGTTACTGATGGGCTGCTTTTTTTTAAATTAAAAAAAAACAGAAAACAACCAAAACCAAACCAAACCAAACCCTTCCACACCACCTACAAACACACAACAAAAAATTCCCAAAATCCCAGCAGGCAAGTACCTGAGCAAGTGATATTAAAAGTCTCTGAAAGTGTCCAGATGTGTCACTTTTTATTGCTTCCTCCAGAGTTTTCTTATATTCTGGAAAAGAGACAGTCATGAATCCTCATATAACCCTGCTCAATTCCTAAATTCAAACTATCAATCAGTGATTAAGGAAGAAAGGGATGAAAATTTTGATGCAACAGATCTAACCTGCTTTATAGACCCTGTTAAGTTCCTGAATATGCTCATTACTGCGGGAAGCTAAGATTTCAATGAGACAGTTTTCATCTGTGCCAACGCCCTAAAACAAGCAAAGAAGAAACACTTCAGATTCTTGATTTCTACAACCTAGTATAAAAGCAATGTAATAAAATTATACAGGAAAAAATTCAGATTATAACCAAAGCAAGTAATCCCAAGTAAGCCCAAACTTTTAAATGGCAACCAAATATTTTATCAGCTCAACTATTTCCCCTATCTTATAAATGTATCTCCTACACAAACCTTTATAGCTTCCTTGATTTCATAAGCATCAAACATGACAGGTGTCTTCATCATTGCCAAGATTGTCTTCTCAAAGTTACCTGATAGCTCAGACTTGAGATCCTTGATCAAATCCTAATGAGAAGGAAAAACAAGGAAAAAATGTGTAAAGACCAAACTTGACAAAAGCAAGCACCAAAAATACACATTTTACTAGGAATTCTTTATGCATAAGCACCAGTAATGTATGTTCAAAGTAAAGCTATTCCACTTAACTAACTAAATTAACTTAATTAACTAAAACCAGCATAATGGAATATGTACACTGAGGTCATTAAGGTCCAATTAAATAGACTGCACAGATCAAAGCGTCAAAGTAACCATTTAGCATAGAAACTGCTTTACATGTTTCATCTGCAACACTGCATAAAGAAGTCAAGCATGGGTAAAAAGCAGAACTCTGAACTGGCTATGACTTAAACATCTTCCCCTAATGCACCTTTCAATCTTTTTTCCCCACCACTAAGTCTTCTGACTGCCACTGAAGGGATGTAGGCTCTTATTTCTTCTTTGTTCTGTTCTCACAACAAACTTACCTTTCCATAAGCTGTTTTGAAGGACAGGATTATCTGCTGCCGTTGCTTGTTTGAACGACTTCCAAGACAATCGATGATGGCCTGCTCATCGGTTCCTGTACACACACACAGACACCACAGAATGAGCATCACCTCATGTGAGGATTCAGCCTTCTGTCCCTATTTCATCCTGTTGTAAACCCAGCAGAAGGACATGAATGCCTTGAATTCACCTACAGTATCTACTCTTGTGTACAACCACAGAACTTCAAGCTCTACTCCCAATCACGAACACAGTAAGAATACAAAGAAAACCTAAACCAAACTCATATTACTTATGCCTACATGAACTTCCAGTAGTAACTTCTGATAACCAAGGACAATCACATGGGAACTATCCTGCTCAGTACACACACAGCAATAGAAAAACATCAGTGCTGAATGGATATGCAATTCTACTTTAACTGACATGTAAATCCTCAGACTGCTCACCAAATCCTTTCATGGCCTTCCTTAAGACTTCTGCATCCTTCAGAGGGTCAAAACCTGGTGCATCAGTGATGGTACCTCGGTTTCCATGCTAAAATGAGATCAATAGTGTTAAACAGTACTAGTGTTAACAGTATATTAGTGTTAAATTGTGAAATACTGTGGTTTACTACTTAGGAAAGATGATCACTGTTACTAGTTTTTTTCTTGTGAGAAAAGCAATAGAGAAAACTCAAACCAACCCTGCCTTAAGCAATTTGCTAATTTCTAGACACAAATGACAAAATGCAAGATCAAGGTTTCCTGACATTAAATCTGCTTTCCAATTCATTAAGGTTTGATTATACTGTATATATGACTGGCAATACTTGCTAAAGTTAGGAAAGGCAAGATTTATTAATTTGAATTAATGTCAAAACTTTTTTCTTGGATACCATGGTAAAACATAATTTGTTTCAAGACATATGAGCCTATACTGCTTGCGCTTGAAAAGGTTCCATCTCTCTCTTCACTCAAACTTCTTTTCCTAACTTTCTTTTCAATTTGATGATTGGTTTACATTAATACACACAAAGAAAATGTAGAGGAACATATATACAGCCACACCTCAAAAGAAAAGCAGTGAATGCTCTTACTGTTAGAGGAGTGACTGCAGGCCCTGTAGTTCCTGAGTAAGAGGGCATAGATGGGTTCACAGCTGGACCTGCTGGGTAATTTGGCATGGGCTGCTGCCCTGGGTGAGCTGCTGGAAATCCTGGATAGTTCATAGGCTGCTGAGCAGGTGGTGGTGTGGGCTGGCCTGGCACAGGGCCGCCTCCATACCCTGGATAAGAGGGCATTCCGGATGGTGGATTTCCTCCAGGGGGAGCATACCCTCCGTACGAGGGCTGCTGTCCTGGCGGGGGTTGCCCAAAGCCACCTGGAGGAACAGGTGGATAACCCCCAGGTGTGGAAGGATACATGTTTTGTGGTACATTTGCCCCTCCAAAGGTCCCTGCCAGGTTGGATGCCTGCAATGACAGCAATGACAGCAATAAAGCAAGAGACAGGAAGATGTACAAACAGCTGAGTTTCAGTAACATGCTTAATACAACACAACCTCCCTCCCCACCAACACGGACAGATAGTTCTTTATCTCGAAAACAAAGCAAGCAGGATGGAAAAATCTGCCTAAAACTTTACACCAAATAATCCCTTCTTTTCCCATGGCTGCCTTGTATGATCACAAGGGCGCACCTGGGTGCAAGGACTTTAAGCAACCTTTGGCTGTTTTATGATGTGTTAGTAGTTTACAACTAGCAGGAGTTCCTGGGCTGCATTTGGAAAGACTTCTGCAGAAACTGAAATGAAGATATTCCACTCCACATCAAAACTTTACCACTGAAACTGCTCTTCTAGAGAGAAACCAGAAGTGACTTTTGATGATTGCAGAATTGTCAAAAACTAGTTGCTGTGGATATTGCCTCCTGCACCCTAGATAGTTTGTTGCTCAATTTGCCTGCTGGCTGCCAAATCACTTCATTTAATCACTGCCTCAGAAAGGCATCTATAATGCAAATATCTTCCTACAAACTGCATTCATTGTGCAGCATAACAGATTTCTGAAGACTAAAGTTGTCAGAAGTGTCACTCACTTCTGCTCTATGAAAAAAAATCACATTGGAAACGTCTACATTTTCTTCAGTCAATGTAAAAGGTTTTTACTTCCATCTGTTAAACATCAGTGTTTGTAAGAGACTGTTGATCCCATATTCTTTTCAAGGACGAATCATTGCTACCTCTAATTACACAGCCTTTTTCCTTACTCTGACTGGTCAAAACACAGGTAATAGGCAAAATCCAGACTGTGTTTGCTCATGTGAATATATTAACAGTTAATAGCTCCCTATTCCTCAACTCAGCAAATGCCAAGTTATATTAGTTTTACGTTCATGACTTTTGAAGTTAGACTGCTAACAACACTTAACTAGTGTTCTGTTTCCTAAAATAAGGAATAGCTTTCAGTAATCATTTTCTTCAATAGGCAATACTGAATGCTCAACACTTAAACAGATTAGACATAAAGGCACAGAAATTCAAGTGATGAACTTCACTGTGACAATGCCAGAAATGCAACTTCACCCTTAAGGGCATCACAGTGAAACACATTAAATGAAAGCAAACTCACCATTCCAGCCATGTGGCTGGGATTGAACTGGTTGGCATAGCCAGCCACATTTTCCAGACCAATTGGAGGTGGATTTGAAGGTGGATAGGCAGCACCACCCCAAGGACTGCTACCTGAAATCAAACATACATGTGCTGAAACAAGAAACTATGCCATTTTAAAGTTCTTACTACTAAAATTTCTAATGTAATTATTTTCAACACTACCAGGAAAATCAACTGAAGAGGTGCAGGGTAGCAGTGTAATTATTATAAAAAGAGAGGTCTCACTGGGTATTTCTAATCATGTTAGTATAACTGAATCTGTAAGTTCTCAAACTCTAAACCTATTTGACAGTTAGCACTCAGTCAAGACGAGCACCACATTTTGACTTGAGAGCACTTAAAGTACAAAGTTGTCTGGGTATTCCAGTAGGAAGATATTATTAATTCTACTTACTTTGCTAATTTGAGAGGTGTCCACAGAGCACAACAGTATATTTACAGACACCAAAGTCATAAAACTTGTCTGCACACAGGAGTATGGTCTAACTTAAGACAGAATACTCTGCTGAGAAATAGGCTTTATCCTCCTAGCTAGTTCAACTTCCCCTTCCTGAGCTAGCCTGCCTAACTCCACACTTCACCATACCTGCATGACTCCAGACCCTGCTTTCTGAATTTCAACAATATTAACAACTGTGAAGCTCAGCTTGATAACCAAGCAGTGGTTGAGTATTTCATCAGCTTTATGTTATTATAAATGCCACCCTTGTTAATTGCCCTCTCTCCTCTGTATGCAACCACCTGCCTAAGAACAGTGAATTAAGAATAATTTCCTACTTCTTTGGAGAATATAGTTTTAAGACGTACAAATGATTTCTCCCCATACTCATTTGTCTCACCACACACCCTGAAGACTCAGTATTGACTTGACACTGATCCTTGTCATTTATTTGATTTGATCAAGTTAAGACCATTTCCCAATGCTCTGTGCTTTATTCGAGATGAATGAAACTGGACCCTACTATATGAGCACATGGCAGAACACACATATTAGACAAATCAGAATCCCCAGCCTAGATAACACAGGACTTAACAAGCAAGTACAGAAAGCTCTGAAGGAAACCCTTCAGAGCCCTGTTCTTCATCCATGCCATGTTTCCACTCCAGACAGGACTGCCAGTGCATTATGTTTAATTCATCTGAACAACTTACCTGGAGCAGCTGGTGGATATCCACCCGCTGGGGGATAGCCCGGGTAACTCATTGCAAAGATCTGGAAAGTATGGGTGATACAGTTATCTTCTGCAATGCTTCACTCATTACACCACGTAACACTAAGAGGTAACATTTATGCAGTAGCCAGTTATCAAAATTTATACATAATCTGCACAAGCCTGTCCCGACTTTCCCCTTAAAAACCTCTTCCTGTTTCCTTCTGCTGGACTAAAAAACAGATAGCTAAGCAGCTGCAGAGTCACTCCTCACACTATTTTTCTTATCTGTTGCAGTTGCTACTTACTGCTTGCTTTGTCTATTATGTTGTTAGGGATATATTAATTGAACATGCTTCCTTTACTGTGCTATTAAAACCTCCAGAAGTTTCCAGCCTATACAAAACTGTGTTATCAATGAGGAGTAGAAAATCATCTGACAAAGAAGCTATGTCTTCAAGTGAGTAACTAGGAGAAGCTGTTAGAAGGCACCTAAACGCAAACGTCTGCAGAAGTGCAAGGTCAGAGTAAGAAGCAGAAGGGATACACCTTCATGGTTACAGCACTGCCATAAAATATGAAGGGTTTTCTGATAGGATCAGATCACTAGAACAAATTTGGTCTCTCAAAATGGATAGTGCCTCTGTCAGCACAGAAGTGCACGAAGTCATTAGCTGTCCAAAATAGAAGCAGAGGTCAAAAAGGAAGAACAGCTAAATTAAGGACAAAATGAAAACTGGCTTCCAAAATACAAAGGCTTTATTTTAAACAGAACAACTACCAGAAAGAATGGTAAAAGGAACTACGAAGAAAATATCTATAATGAGTGTTAATTTTTGAAGGTTATTTTAATGACAAGCCACAGTCTATTTTTAGAATTGCTGCCCTTTTTTTCCCCCCTCTCTTTCCCCTAAAGCACTACCTTTTGCATCTGGCATGTTTTGCTGTGTTTTGGGTTTCAACTGTGGAATTTTGCTTTGGATTTGGTTTGAGTTGGCAGGGGTGCTGTTCTTGTGAAATTGTTTTCATTTTGCATGATCACATTAACTTCTCTTTCTGGTTTGCATGGCTCTATCGCATAGCAACACTGAAATGGAGAAACACCTTTTCTTAGTGGTTTTCTTTTTTAAAAGGAAATACAATTAGGAAATCTGAAATTTACTTAAAAACTGCTCGGACTTCATGCTGCACATACTCATTTAAATTTAAAGAGAGAGAAATGAACAGAAACAGCAATGAACAGAGTACACCAAAAGTTATAACCCTACCTTACTTCTGCTCCAGTATGTAGCATCTGAGAATCAATAAATAAGTGAATGCAGCTTCTCAGCATTAGAAAAGAATGCCTGCTGTTACCCATGCAAAGACTGACCCCAAACTCACAAGGCCAAGAAACAAAAAAGCAAGACGCATTCTCCCTCTGCTGCTGGAAAAACGAGCAGGCAGCTTCCTCCCTCCTGGCGCTTGGCCACACAATTGCCAGAGGGAGCTGCCAGGCCCCAGGCCCATGCTGCCACCTCCGGCAGGTACCCGAGTATGGAAGTGCAGAGAGGCCAGCAGGAAAAAAAATAACATTAAAAAGCTCAACAGAAGGCAGCCTGGCACACTTCAGAGACTCTCTAATTTAGAAATGGGCTTTACGTAATAAAGCATGGAAAAATAAAAAAGAACAGCTATTACCATGTCACTCAAAAACAAACCTAAGAACCCCCAGAATCTAGATTCTTAGCATATGTAATGTCAAGGTGTACATTTTTATACACAAATTATTACAACACTGAAATTAGTGTTATTTCTTCAGGCAAAACTGTAATTATATTTTTAGTTACTTTTTAGCTTTACATGTAAATACAATAAAGACAGGGTACTCAAAAAATTGCAAAATGCCTTTTTAATAAAGATTTAGGTACACATTTAAGGCAAAAATACATTTTTTTTTTGTGGTAGAGGGTGAGAAGCAATGGGATAGGCTTTGTTTTTCTTAGCAAGGCTGTTTGCTTGCTTTTAATCCCATACAGAACGCTCATTTCAAATTGGGAAAAAACCCAAGATTAAAAGAGCCTTTTGGCAATGAAAGCTGAGATTGAGAAAAAACAGCCAACTTCAGCAATCTGAAAAAAATGTTAGTTTCTATATAAAAATGTTCCACTTGCTTCTTTTGAACGCTGTATTTATCCAGGGCTTTTCCAAGGGGAAATTTTCCCAGACTGGTTTGATTCCAGGCAAACTAGATCTGCAAACACACCGACTTCTCATGTTCAGAAACTTCCCTGATCACCACCTTTTCCACAGTTGATTCGAGCCTCTGTTGACCAGTACTCTAACTTTAGAAATACTAACATAGAAAGTTACCTTTCCCAACCATTCCCTCCAGCCAGCCTCCATTTCATCTTCTAATCTCATCATCCACACTTTCTCCTGCTACATCCACAATATTTTACTAAAATTGCTCCCGATGAGCAGCACTTGCCTGCTGATAACTGAGGGGTGATACAGGCGAGGGAACAGAAGATACGGAAACATACCCTGCTACACAAATATTGCGTGGGAGGACAAAGGAACAGCAAGGTCTCTGTTTGTTCAGTCATAAAAAAATGTAGTGCATAAGACAAGGGAAAAATACAAACAACCAAACCACACACGGGAAGAGGGAGTGCCTTGAAGAAAACAAAGAACAACTGCTGTCAAGGTCCACTGCCCATTCCCAGTATTCAATCCCAGAGGTCCACCTCAGAACTTTATTTAAAGACCTGAGGTTTTACTCCCACAGCAAACATCGTTATCATACTTCACACTGCAAGCTATAAACCATTCAGGCTCTTGAGCATTTTCCTGCTGCTTGACAAAACTAAGAGGGAACAGACCTGTTCATAAACAATTAAACCTATGACAGACTTTCAACAGGAGTCTTGAAAATACGCTTCTGTACGATACAGCACAGAAGGAAAGGACTACAACTCAATAAATTTGTAACAAAAATACAAATTCCATAATGAAGGCAGAAATAAAGAAGAAAACTTCAAGGCTGCAAGAAAACTTCTGTTTCAAGGTGCAATAGCAATAAAATCAGCCACTGCATTCACACCCACTCCTGGAATGTATGTAGTGGCTGCTGTTCAGGCTCCAGCTATGCCATGGTACAATAATTTGAGGACAAAAAAGGATGAAAAACCACATTCTTTATTTTTTCAAAATTATTTGTTTAATTATGCCCATTTCATCACAGGGATCACCGAGTAAAGTTAAACCCTTGGCCTTGACTCCTCCACAAGGTTAATTACCAGGATATTGTAGACAAAGCAGCCTGAAGCTATAAATTACAGTACATGCTCTGAGACTGATCCCTGATTGTGAAACCAGCAGAACAGAATTTATCACCTTACAATACGCTGTCGTTTTTCATCACATATGAGCTGAGGCATCCACCACCATGCTTTTCCAGGACAAGGACAAACCACAGTCAGCACTGAACCAGCTAAGTGCTTTTTTACCAGCCTGAGCAAAATTTATCTTTGACTCGTGCACTGCAGCATACAAGTTGTTCTCTCCTGTATCAGTTGTAATAGTTTTCATCCTGACAGATAAAAAGTTCTGCAATTTTTTTTTTCATTAAGTCTTCTGTATATGTATGTGATTCCTGTCTAGCCTTCCTCTCACTATGAAAAGAACTAATTTAGTGGAATGGGTTTATCTTCCAACACGGGTGAGTTCATGCCACCCAAAACTCAGGAAACCTCTTTACACAGATCTTATCATTCACTGTTCACCTTTACTGGAATTCATCCAACAATGTATATTTAAAGAGTACTAACACATCATCCACTTCCTACAAAAAAAAGCTTCCCAAACCAACTCACAGCTTTGAATAGACTGGAACAGAAACAAAATAAAATAAGAGTTTTTTTAAAAAAACTATCAATTTGAATTGCTTGCTAGTATTATGACTCAGGAGCTCTGTCAGTTTTGATGATCCTTCTAATTCAACATAATAATCTTTTTTACTACAGAAAATAATCTAACACTTTTTGACCTACTGGGGCATGGGGGGTGAGGAGGGAAGAGCATCAGAAAGGTAGCACTTGTAAGCTTTAGTCAAAATAAAATAGATCTGAAATGCTGATGATGCCACGCTCAACAAAGAAAAGCGGAATGGGAAGACATACCCATAAGCCACAACCAAGCTGTAAAAATATTACAGAGAACACTCCTGTAACTTTACAGTGACTGAAGCCCTACATATAAACTCAGGGCTTCAAAATCCAAAGAACTTAGTTGAGCTGCATGGACTTTCAAGATCTATGTGCAGCAAAAACCTGAGTTAACTCCAAGAGGTCAGTTTCATTTTGGACCCCTACTCTGCCCTGATGTGAGTGCTTCCTTTTGTAGCACTCTTTCAATACTCTCTCTCAAATATATGAAACACACAGTCAGAACATTTATGACAATACAGACAAGACAGCTTCCAAACAACAAAACAAACAAGAAAAAAAAAAAATTAGGTTATGAGATGCTTGAAAAAGCAATGGAATGTGGTTGTTCTACTTCAAACTCCTAACTTTTTCTTTTGTTGCAAAAAAATAATACTATAAATAGTCTGAACTACGTTCTCAACTGACTAATGCCTCAGGGAGTTACACTCCTCTATTTTAAGTTCCACCACAAAGGAATAAATTTTTACACCATTAGTGCAAGTCAGAATATGTAAAAACCAATTACTCCAGGAACCACAGCAATAGAGTAGTATTCAGTACTCTAAAACAATTATTAAAAAATATCTGATTTTTCATTTCCCACCAGCAATTATTAATTAGTTGCTGCGCCCGAGCCTGAAGCGCAGAGCCAAGGAGTGGCCCCACTGCAAAGGCAGAGGCAACAGGAACAAAAGGATGACAAAAGGTTTCCATCAGGTCTGTAGCTGTTTGGGCTGCAGGAGGCCAGACTGGCACCAAGCTGTTCAAGTGACAGCTCCCAAAGTCAGGCACACTGGCAGGAGCTGCACGGGAGCTTAGCTAAACTCCTAATGGACATACCCAACACTGCGACAAAACCTCTCTGATGACAGTCTTGGGACTCCCCAGCTGAACAAGAGGTACAAAGACATCAACTTCTTAGCAGTGATGACTCTCACACTTTCTGGCCAGGGAAGGCTTACACATTCAGCTGTCCAGCAACACTGGGATGGTTACTACCCCTCGGTGAGCAAATGGACACACCTTCATTCATTCAAGGCTATAAGGAATTACTCATTTTCAGCTGATTAATTCTTTCCAGGAACAGAATTATTCAAGAACTAGCTTCAAGTAGTAAAATAGAGAGGCAGGTATTTCAAAGCCATCATAAACAAGGAATGTGAAAAGAAAGCAAGACTATAGCCTTCAAATCTAGTCTGCACTTTAGATCAGCAAGCTTTAGGCCTTAAATCTTACTACTGAAAAGTATTTTTCCCCCAAAATCCCAACATTTGTAAGATGCATTTATTCTCCTAGCTAATAGAAAACCAAGTATTTTTAAAACACTGCCAAGCATAGCCAACAACCAGTTATTTTGACTATAGATAAGTACACTGTTTACTGAAGAAGTTCAAATTCCCAAGCTTAAAGTTATCTCTAGCAATAATAAAAGGGATATTCACCCTGTCTGCTTTAGGAAACCTAAGCACCTAATTCAGAGTAACTCACTAAGCCAAAGTTCAAAATCAGATGTCCTTTTCTAGCTAAGCCAGGGATCTTTTTTTTTTGGCCTCAGACCTTATACTAGGCAGTATAGGTCAGGCAAGAGAAAGGAACATAAATATCATAAATATTGTTGACATAAAATTATTAGGCACTCAGCAGAAGAGACAGGGCTACAGACAAACATGTAAGCAATACTCAGTTCTAATAATCTGCTGCATCAGTGGGAGGAGAGTGATCCACATGACGCTTAGAACAACTCAAAATACAGGAAATTACAGAAACAGCCAAGCTATGGGGAAAACATTCATACACTCAGGCTTCACAGCAACCATACACTTGCACTGGTTTTGTATTGTTTCCGACGTTACCATGGGCGTTCCAATAAAGCACTGACTCACTCCACAGAAAATAACTGTATGCTGGGGGAGGTATCAGGGAATAAACCTCCCACCTCTGACAGCAGCTGTGCTTTTAGGTGCGTAACCCTCATCATGAGCTCCTTCCTCAACACACACTGTACCAGCACTTTTCCTCTCTCGCCAGTCTGTTTTCGCTCCACACCTTCTGCCCCAGTGCCATCTGTCCCCGCTCCAGGCTGAGAAGCCTTCCATGCTTCTGCCACTCCCTTCAGAACATTATCTCTCCACAGTTCCTCCTTAACAGGAAGAAGCTTCCAGGAACTACTATAAATACATTTTAAAATAAAAATATATTCTATAGAAGTACTTCCTTACTGCCCAGAAACAGGATGGGGACAAGAAGGAACTGCTTTTCTGAATATGGAGATGTTTGTGTTGTTTTTTCTCAACATATAGCTACAGCATAGCAGGAGTTTAAAGAGTTTTGGTTTTAAGACAACTTAAGTGACTTGAAGACACTTAAAGACACTTAAGAGTCTTAAAGACATTCGAAGTACACAGGTAAAGTATACTACGAGCTGTTTAGAGAAAGGGGAAAAAATATATATATAAAAAAAAAAGCACTGCGTAATGGCCAGCCTACCATCTTAGGCTGCTTTCTCCTGACAACTGTGTACGTATCGAAACTATAAACTCAAACTATAGACACATGCAAAGGACCGAACTGCAACTACAACAGCAAAACATGCCCTCTCCTCTGAAACCGTATTTCCTCAGGAAACAGGCGTTGCTTCCTCCCAGCCGCGGAGCTGCCGCAGGCCCTGACCTCCCCTCCGTCAGCTCCTGAGCCGCTGCCGGTCACCCGCGGACGTCTCGGCTCCTGCTGCCCCAGGATCCCCTCCCTGCGGGGACATGGGCCCGGCCCACAGCCCCGCGGGCCCGGCCCGGCCCTGCCGCACCGGCTGGCCCTGGCCCCTGGCCCCGTCCCGCCGTGGGGTCGCGCCTACCGCGGGTCCTGTGAGCCGCTGCTCCCGCCGCCCGTCCCAGGTGCTCGCTGGCGCTGCAGGGCGGTGCCGGGGAGCGGCAGGAGGAGGAGCCGCTGCGGCCACGGCTCATTCCGCCCGCCCCGCCGCGGCCTCGGTGTGAGGGAGGGCCGGGGCCGGGCGGGGCGAAACCTGCCGGGAGCGGCGGGCCCGGCCTCGGGGACAGCCGGCACCGGTGTGTGCCGGCCGGGGCTGGAAAACCGCACAACAGGTTTGACCAAGAGGCAGCTTCAGCGAGAGGCCCATTTTACAAAAAAACAAGACACACGGTAAAAAAGGTAGCTCCACCCGTCAGGCAGCCTGGGCATTCCGCAAGAGCACAGCGTCACCTGAGGGAGCGGGTGACATGGACGCGGCAAAACCAAATCCGGGCACCTACGGTTCAAGTCAAGATTCAGGACAACATCGGATTTAAACCCAAAACCACCTCTGACTGTTCTCACCAGGAAATCTCAGAAAATATTCTTTCCAGACAAGGTGGTACAGAAACCCCCATCTCGTATATAACCTACTTTTCCTTAAGTAAAACTCCCCAAAAAATCAAGAGGAAGGAAAGAAGGAAGTTTGTGTCGACCTTTTCTAGTACAAGCAGTAATAGCTAAAGGCTTCAATAAACATCTTTTTTTCCTACATGCATTCCTTAAAGATGAGTGAAATTGCTCACATGGAAGCATTTAGAGAGACAAACCAAGATAATAAAAAAGAAAAATAAAAAGGGCTAGCATTTTCCAATTAAATTTCTTTTGCCAAGACACTAATCAAAATAGCAAAGACAGCATTATCTAACTGAATCACAGCATTATACAACTTGGGTGGGGAATGAACTTTGCAGCTGGGAATTTTGTGAACAGGATCCAGAACCTCCTTTCCAACACTTGCTTCTCTAATATGTATGCTTTGTAACAGGCAATTTCATTTAGGATTAAACTAATTTGGATAGGTGTGTTCACGCTTCTTAAAGCATCCTGTTCAACTACCAACAGCTTTCAGTGACAGGCCTGGGATTTTTCTCCTCCATACAATTTTCACATATTACAATGGCAAATCATTGAAATGCAACAGCTGTGATTGAACTAAAGAGAAGAAATTGCCATTTTTTTCCCTCTCCCTCATCAAAATTTTTATTGGCACCGCAGAGGCCAAGGCTACACTCATGAGAAACAGCTACATTTAAAATAGTCTAGAGCAGGTGAATAGGTATATTTGAATATAAGAACAGCTGTGGTTGCTTAACCCCAGCCAGCAGCCAGGCCCCACACAGCCTCCCTTACTCCCTGGTCAGCAAGATCAGGGAGGGAATGAGAAAGGTAAAAGCCAAAAAACTTGTGAGGTGAGATAAAGACAGTCTAATAGGAAAAGCAAAAGCCATGCAAGCAGGCGAAGAAATCTAAGGAATTAATTCTCCATTTCCCATGGGCAGGCAGGTGTTCAGTCAGCTCCAGGAGGACAAGGTTCCATCACATATAACAGTTACTTGGAAAGATAAATGCCATCACTCCAAATGCCCCCCCCCGCTTTCATATACTGAGCACGATGTCATATGGTCTGGAATATCCCTTGGGGTCAGCTGTGTCCCTGCCCAATTTATTGCGCACCCCCAGAATCCTCACTGGTGGGGTGAGAAGCAGAAAGGCCTTGGCTCTGTGCAAGCCCTGCTCAGCAATAACAAAAATATCTCCGTTATTATCACCACTGTCTTCAGCATAAATCAATAACATAGCCCCCCACTAGCCACTGTGAAGAAGATAAATTACATCTCAGTCAAAACCTATTGTGGTTTAGCACAAATAAATTTATACCCAGATTATTTTAAGCTTCACTGATACAGACATTTCTCATTAATAGTCAAAGCTAAACACAGGTTCTGATGCAAAGTGTAGCCTGATGTTCACTATGCAGGAAGATGGAGAAATGAAGATGTGTCCAGAGTAGCTCAAGTGGAAAGAAGGCTAGCGATCTTTGTCCTCTGAGTCTGCTGGTATTGCTTCTCTTGGGAGTTAAACTCCTCTCACCTGTATCAGCCAAAAGGGGCCTCATTAGGTCTGACACAAGAGTCCTGTTAACCAGAGTAACTTCCACTGAAACAGGTTTGGGGCCATTCAGAGGAGCTGCTACTCCCATCAGATGAGGACACAGCAACTTCTACAACGCACTATTTCTTCTTCCAGCAGATTTTGAGAAAAAACCCTCATATTTCTGTAACTTTAGTACTGCTATTTTTTCATGTAGGAAAGCCCTTTGAGTATCAATGCCTAGGCTGGAAGGGGTGGATGAGGAAGCTTGTACTGCTGCAACCAGCTCAATATTCATTCCAGACCAGGTTGTGCTCACTTTGAAGTCAATTGCAATCTTCCATGGGTTTAACCAAGGTCTAGATTTGGCTTACTTCTATGAATTCCCCTATTTATCCAGGCTCAGTGACTGGAAGTCTCACACCTTTGATGCTGCATTCATAAACAGAAAACTGGGCTAGCTATGGCAGCATACGGAATATTCTTCTGACAAAGAAATCATTGTATGGAAACCTCAGTACCTGCCATTTTCAGACAGTCAGGGACTGAGATATTTGCTTAACGTATTTTATTTCTGGAAATTTTTCCACAGGAATGGTAATCTCTGAGCCCATGCTTTTGGGGACCTCTGGCTGGAGTAAAACCCTTTCCCTGCAAAATCTGCTACAGGCAGCACATGCACTTGTCAGCATTCACTTAAAGAGCCAGGAAGCCTACCAGCAAGTTTTAAAATCTTTTTATTTCCCAGCCTCCTCTTGGGTTTTAGCATTTAAGCCAGGACAGAACCCCAAAGCACCATGTGCTGTGCAATTGAACAGAGATTTACTTTTACCCATATAAAAAACTGTCATGTTGTGTTGGCATTTCAAACCAAATTCACATGGGCAGTGATGCCACAGTCAGAAATGAAGCAGAAATGAGGCCTGGAATCCTTGGTGTTGGGATGGGTGAGAGTTCACCTATCATCTCAAGCATAGTCATACTGCTTTCTGACATTGTGCCTATACTGACCCAGTACCAACTGAAACAGAGAAGCCTTTGTGGGAGAGCCCACAAAAATCACAGCAACATTTCCTGCAAGCACTGCATTTTCCTAGTGACCCTTCCAAGCTTACGAGCTCCAGACTTGTAGTTTTCCAAGTGGATTTGTGCCATTATAACACACAGGCCAGAACTGAGTGGTGGAAACTAGTACAACAAAACATCCATATTCCTGATTTCACAGGTACTGTCTTCATTTTTCCACGTTCATTTTACAGCATTTAGTTCCTATCACTAAAATAATACATTGCTGAAAACTCTAGAAGAAAAATCTTGAGTGTTTACACAGTAAAAGCAAGCACAAATCACTAAAGAAAACATAAAATAAAACCTACAAGTATTATAACACAGTTTTTCAGACAGTCTAAGAACCTCAAGTACCAGTCAGTGTGATCTGGGAATTCTACCCAAATGGTCCAGGTTACTCCAGAGGTTTCCTGCAAGAACTTGATTAGGTTCAGACCTCTGAGGATACACATGAATATGTATGCCTACATTCATTTTGAGCCCTAAGGAACTGATACACATAATTTGTTAACTCAATCTCATATAAGAAAGGCTGTTCTCTCACAGTCATGCTGGGTTGTAGTTCACTTTTTTTACAGTCTTATTAGTTGATGGAGATTTTAGAAAGGTATTTGCCTGAATCCCTTCACTCTGCTATAGTCACAAAAGACATTTATCTTCCCTCCTTGCTTTTTTACTGTTTCTGAGCATTCTGTAGGTTTTATACTTACTTTTTTTGCACATAGTTTCTAACTCCATCAGCTTGCAACTCTTCTATGCACCTGTTTTCCTTCTTCATAACTGGGCCTTCAGTTAAACCAGATCCCTCCAAGACAATATCACATATTTGGATTTGCCGCCCCTGCTTGATCCTCCACAGGTTCTTTGTATATGCCAGTGTATTAGACTTGAAGATAAGCATTTGATGGTAACGGCATTATCCTCAATCTGTGTTACACTCCTGAGAAAATTTTACTGCTTAAAATCCATTGCTCGGAGGCAGGCTTAACTGAAATGACTTCTGCACTCCAACTTCATTTCCCCAGTGCATTTGTGTTGCAGTAGGAGACTGCAGTGTTTAATGTCTGCACTGCCACTAGTCTGGAATAAAGGTAACACAGCCTATGGCTCAACTTGCTGTTTGCTGAGGAATGCAACACTACAGCCATTTAATAATTGTGTCAGAACTTGTGATGGACTGTACAAACTATGTTATCAAAGGCTATCTGCCTTAGACCTGGGTAGATCTCTAGCACAAAAAAAAATCGGTGAAGTAATTTTCTTGCATGTCTCTTGCATTTTCCCCCAAACCATCATGCTGTGAGCTTGGATCTGTGAGAGGCTGTCAATCTGAGCATCTTCCATTGTTACCGAAGGCATCCAAATTAAGAGTGAATTGGAATGTTCAACATGCATTTGTACATAAACCAATACCCTTCACAAGCAGTAGAATATAGCCTTGAAATAAACATTTTCCTCAAGGAGTAACAGATGGAAGTGCTTTAGTTTCCATTTTGTATTAACAAAAACTTCTCATTAAACTCTTGGAGCGTTAAAATTGGATAGCTCGGTGTTTTCCTGCTTGGTGAGCATAGCCTGGCCGACTTTGGTGGGCTGACACTTTGCCACATACTCTCTTAGAAGTCAGTAGTTCCCCTCTTTACCGATCAGATTTTCTACCATTTGTTTAGATTTTCTGCTTTGCATTGTATCTTGTGTAAAATTGAATTCTGAACTCCAATCAACATTTAATTCTATGTAACAGAGTTAGCCAACAGGAAAGGGAACTCACAGAACCAGACTGAGCTGGTCCTGGCATGCACACACTTTACCTACACCTGCAGAGTTTAAGCTCCCAGTATGGGGAAATAGATAAATATCTGTTAGTATTTTTAAGTACTGCTGAATGCAATTCAGTTGGTTGACTGGGAACCCCATCTGAATGCATTCCAGATGAGCCATTTATCCCTATGTG